CAAATTATTATATATTTGTTTAAAATTTATAAATTAAAATAAAATTTTTGCACCTTATTTCTATTAATTTTAATAGATTTCTTTCATGATATAATCATGCTTGAATTATTAATAATATGAGCATTATTGAATTTATAATACTTATAGGATTTGCAAAACTGTACGTTTAAATACAGTGGTGTGTAGATCAGTAGAACTAAATTAGATATTCGCTTGCCATGCCAGCCTACAGAGTGACAGTTCCACAAAAAATTATTGTGCTCCTTTTATGTTTGTATTTGCCTTTCTATATTTGTAGGTTGTACAACTACAAGAAATATGAAGTGCAAAATATTAATTAAAAAAAAAAATCATATCGTCATTCAATAAGTCATGCATACATCTCCAAACCTTTATTTCTCTATATGAACGAATATCACCGCTGTTCAATCCTTCTGATTTGAATTAGGCTTTAGTTATTTCAAGCCTAACTCTAGTAGAAAAAAAAGTAGTTTAATTTTTTTATTTTAATTTTAAATAAATGCGGCAGGCCGGCAATAATGACAATAGAAATACTTTTAGAAGAATTTTTCAAAGATTCAACGTGGAAATAGAAAATGTAGGGCTGGCTATCGAGATTTAGGGTCCGTTCATAATATTTCAGGATAAGTTTGCGGGTCGGTCGCAGGGGTCGACTCACGGTTTGTTTTAGTGTAAAAACTCAAACGCAGTTTCAGATAAACTGGTGAAACGCGCGAACCAAACAGTACGGCAGCATTTTGAAAACGCCGCCCGTACTTATAAACTGCCCTAAACGGATCCTTAAGTTGTGACAATGACGAGTAATTGGAATAACAATTTTGTAATTAATAAAATTAATGAATTAAGGGGAAAAAAATGTTCCAAACCTTTTTCAAGTCTATTCATGCTTTGACAATTGAGGTAATTACACAAATTAATTAACTATGGTATCCCTATAAAAGAAGACTTACAATAATACATTACATTATATTATTTTTCGATGAAGATATAAAATATAATGCCATAAAAAAATTAAACTGAACAAATCAATTGACAAATATATATTTTACTTCTTTTCGAGTATTTTTTTTAATTGATCTTTGACATTCATCTAGTAATTTATGACACGTATATTTGATAAAAAAAAATTATTTATCTATTTGTTAATTAAAGAAGTCATTAGTATTAGTGTTTTATAAATTTATGCTCGAGTGTCTGATACATGTCGTGACCTAAATTTATCACAAACAAAAGTTGATATTATAAAATATTTGTGTATTATTACCTACCATTCAAATATTACGTTGCATCCAAACTTGCAAGAGCAAACATCTCTTCAAGTTCTTTTCTCAAGTCAATCAATATTTTGTATATTCTGAAATGATGAAATCAAGTATAAATTTAATGAGATAAATTTAATTTTTAAGTTTTAATTCAATCTACAATTTTGCAACATTTTCCTTATCTTTTGCTATTTTCATAATTTTGATTGTTGCATGATAGAAATTTTGTTGCACTAAAGAAAATCTAACTTAGCTTTGTATAGAAGTCTCCAACACATGTAGATGTGTTGAGAGCTACTTATAGAAGTTAGTATTATCATTCTTACATCAAAATTTTGGGCTGTATAAACCCTATGAACACTACAGAGAAGTTGAAATGATTCAATTAGGGCAGACTTTAAATTATAGATATTATTGACTCTCATAATTGAAGAAGAAATCAATAAATATGAATTATGAAAGATAACTTCCATGATGGAATTAAAAGAGCTTGGAAGATGTTTTAGTTGTCATTAAGAAATCAGAGTGGGGCATCTTACTGCACTTCAAATAGAAGTAGAGGCTAGAAACTAATAATGTAAGCAATGATTGTGGGAGAGATATTAGACAAGGGCATTGGATTGAAGTCAACAAGAAAATCAAGCAAAACATGCATTGGCATTGGCATCAACGGCATGCATTAGCTTGATTGGTGAATAAAAACATTGAAGTTGATGTGCCATCAACAAATTTATCACCATGCACAAATCTCGACGCTTTTTGAGCTAGAAACATTCCAAATTCATATTGATGAATATTGGACCCCTAATTTCTATAGTTTATAGTTAATTGAGAACCCAAAGATGCAAAAAGTCTACCAATCTGAGTTCAAAAGATCCTAGACTAAACACTTGAAGTATAGTCAGAGACTTTGGTGCATCAATTGAAAGTCTTTACGATCTCAAATTTTGACATGCTTAGTCACATCGACTGTCATGTTAATTTTTAAGTTTTAATTCAATCTACAATTTTGCAACATTTTCCTTATCTTTTGCTATTTTCATAATTTTGATTGTTGCATGATAGAAATTTTGTTGCACTAAAGAAAATCTAACTTAGCTTTGTATAGAAGTCTCCAACACATGTAGATGTGTTGAGAGCTACTTATAGAAGTTAGTATTATCATTCTTACATCAAAATTTTGGGCTGTATAAACCCTATGAACACTACAGAGAAGTTGAAATGATTCAATTAGGGCAGACTTTAAATTATAGATATTATTGACTCTCATAATTGAAGAAGAAATCAATAAATATGAATTATGAAAGATAACTTCCATGATGGAATTAAAAGAGCTTGGAAGATGTTTTAGTTGTCATTAAGAAATCAGAGTGGGGCATCTTACTGCACTTCAAATAGAAGTAGAGGCTAGAAACTAATAATGTAAGCAATGATTGTGGGAGAGATATTAGACAAGGGCATTGGATTGAAGTCAACAAGAAAATCAAGCAAAACATGCATTGGCATTGGCATCAACGGCATGCATTAGCTTGATTGGTGAATAAAAACATTGAAGTTGATGTGCCATCAACAAATTTATCACCATGCACAAATCTCGACGCTTTTTGAGCTAGAAACATTCCAAATTCATATTGATGAATATTGGACCCCTAATTTCTATAGTTTATAGTTAATTGAGAACCCAAAGATGCAAAAAGTCTACCAATCTGAGTTCAAAAGACCCTAGACTAAACACTTGAAGTATAGTCAAAGACTTTGGTGCATAAATTGAAAGTCTTTACGATCTCAAGTTTTGACATGCTTAGTCATATCGAGTGTCATCATGAGATGAATCAAATGAGTCCGAGATCATATAATTTGATGTCGTTAAGACACTTAAATGTAGAAAATATTATTTGTGATCAAGATAATTAATATGGACCATTCGATGGAGAGTTCTGATATCCATGCTAAATTTACTAAAATATCCTTCTAAAAAACTATAAATAGCCCTCTTCGTCACTTGAAATGGGAGGAAAGAAAAGAATAATAAAACTCATATTTAGTCAAATGATTATTAAATTATGTATTAATCATAATCATTATCATTTTCTATTCCCTATATCGATTACCTAGTAAACTTTCTGTCTTCTGATTCCCTCAACAAACTGTTCCATTGCTACAATGCACTCACCAACAATACGAGATCCTAAGTCTCAAGAAATTCAACAGTGATCTTCTATCATAGTATGTAGCGACATGCTCAACTTGTTTTGAGCTCATAGCCGAGTGTAGAGAAAAGCAATATATGCCATAAAAATCACCGACTGAATTGGGCCATATTCTTTTGCCCCCTTTTTATATTTAATATGAACGAATAAAGTAAATTAATTCATATATAATTCTTGCACGTTTGGTGTGTGTTTTGATTAAAGCTTTAGCTCAAAATAATTTTTTTCGAGTCTTACAGGGCTCGTATCTCATCTGTCTTGTTGGTTCGTCGTCGGTCTGATCTCCTAATCTTGGAAGTTCTTAAATGAATATTGTCACACCCTATGCAGGATATTCGACGAGACTTACTTCCAAAATGACTTACTCACTTTCAGCGCGTCTTTCCACTACCGAGCGGTTGAAACTATTTCGGGTTTTGGAGACTCTGCTTCAAGCTCAACCTTGAATACTCGGTTGATTACTTACCTCGAGAGAATGCTCTTTCATCTTAGTTGTTCTTTTCTTTGAGATTCATATTAATATTTTTGGTGTATACATATACATATAGAACTTTTGGTGTTTTAAAGCTATACTAAAAAGGTTGATTTCACTTTTAAAAAATAATAATGGTACTATTTTTAACATGATATTAAAGATTTGAGTGTTGTGTACTAAAATATTGAACTTTATATGTGAAATATGTAAATACATAAGAATTGTGGGCTATTGATGTGAATGCCCCAAAATTCTATATCTTGACACAAACGCTAACAAGCTTCAGCCTTTTTAAATTCTGTCGATACTGATGTTTGCATCACAAATAACATTATTTATCCCACCACTCACCAACCTCTAAAAGTTCGCATTCATTTCACTCCACATGTTAATGACAGACAATCCCGCACGGGCCACTTCGGTTAATAATGAACGGTCCCCAAAAGGTTCTCTCTATTGGATACGGCCTTCTAACATGGACCAATTACAACCGGGCAATTCACCGGCGTCTGATGGCGTGCCCCCAGCGGCTTACCCACCTCCTATCACATAACTACTACTACTCACGCCTTGTTCAAAATAAAAATAAAATAATAAGCCGCCAACTGCCCCCACGAAGTCTTTCATTTCAGTTGAGCGGTAGGTCTGAAGTCGGTGGAAAGTCTTTATAAAATCTCGCTTTATTTTAAAACCAATTTTCATCTCCGTTGCCAACATAACAAGCAAAACTAGTATCAATCAATGATTCACTACTAAAACCAAATTGAAATCAAAGTATACACACCATTGAATACCTACTACTTTTTCAACTTTCACTCTAACAAACCTACCCATCACTATTCTTTACTTTCTCTTTTTTTTCTCTGTCCGAATATAGCTTTTTTATCAGAAACCAGATTCTAACAGCAACCAATTATAATACTTTTCCCTTCTTATGTACAGAGACTAAAAAACCGAAGCATGAAAATCAAATCATTAGATCTTTTGTCTATGAGCAGGACCTGATGAGTCCCAAGTTGTATAGATTCCGCTTCACCAAGTTGCGATAGTCTTCCGGTCGGCTGGGTGGCCGCCGGCGTCCGTCACGTAGAAGACATTCACAGCCATCTCCCCCTTCGTAGACATCTCTGCTCTCGTTACGGATAGCCCATTTTCTCTAAAAACCCTTGTCGCCTTAGCTAGCAACCTTCGATCTGGATCCGCTACGCACAGCTCCAATCTCAAACCCTAAGAACAGAATAAAATAAAAAACAATGTATAAAAGGAATATGTGATGGCGGAAAGGGGAAGCAACGAACCTCGGATGCTCTGCGGTCGATGGCTGCTTGCAGGCATTGGATCACTCGCTGCCGCTCGGCTTCGGAGCTAATCGGGCTGCCGTCCGAATGACGAATGTAGAATTCCTGAGTGTATTTGGAGACGAATGAAAATCAAATTGCTGTTGAGTTCGAAAATTAGGGATTAGGAGAAGGAACAGAGCAGTTACTTGATAGGCTTTATCGCCGGTGGTGTCGATGATTCCGTGGAAGACAACGTACTTCATGTCGGTGAGAGTGCAAACGACGTCGAAAAGAAGTTTGGGTCGGTCGGAACACTGTACATTGACTATTGAGTAGCCCCGCTCTGTCCAGTTCTGGACGGAGACAGAGGGCTGGCCGCCACCGCCACGAAGTTCGTAGTCGCGATCGGCGAACATCATCTGATGTAAACGGCGATCAGCGCGGGTTCCTCCGGCTGCCTCGGTGGAGGACGATGAGAGAGCGGTGGTAGCACCGCGAACAACGTTACGGAGGCGGACTTCGATTCGGCGGATCTTGTCGGAGTCCTCAATCAGAGATCCGGAGTCCTCATCCTTGACGAAAAGTAGTGCTGCGATTCGTCCCTTGTGAGTCCAGAGCTTGGCTTCGACCACACTGCAGCGAAGGTCAGCGAGGACGGCGATGACCTCAGAGAGGAGCCCCGGGCGGTCAGTGCCGATGAGCTCTAGGGTTGTGAGGGCCTCCAGACCACAGGATCCGGGGCCCGCTTCGTCGCCGGCTGAACTTAGGGATCGTTCAATGTACGATATGACACTTTCGTCTGTGAGCTTCTGGCCATGACGATCAGTGACATGGAAGACGTCCATGAACCACCGGCCATCGGATGAGATGTACGCCTTCTGGATCGAAAGATCAAGGTCAGCCAGCACCTGCACTGCTTCAAGAAGAATCCCATCCTTTCTCGGGCTATCAACCTGAATCAAGAACAGCACCACAATTAGAATCCATCAAAACCTTTTCGATGTTGAGGAAACTCCAAAAAAAAAAATTCAATAGCAATTAATCGTACCTTCACCAGAGTCGCGGTGGGGCAAACTGCATTGTCAATAACGACCCTGCAGTAAGGAGATCAAAGATTTTAGATTCTCTAAACAAACACCGAAAAATAACGATTCAAGAAGCTAGCAATTCATAAATTATTAAGAAAAACATGATCTGCAGAAATTTAAACATTAAGAGATCACGAGAAGACTAGAAATCGCATTCATCACCAACCTTGGAGTGTTCATCCGAATCACCAGCTTCTCGTACTCGTCAAGAGACTTGGGCCAAGCCATCCCTCTGTTTCTCTCGTTGCTCAGGTGAGAAAGTCCCGAAGCGGGTGGTAGGCTTCGGAGAGGATTCTTTTCTCGTATTTAAAGTCCGTCTACAACGTGGACGCGCGGATCGGACGTTCACATGGCGTCGGGGTGCATTGGGGACATCCCTACGCGCCAGCTATTCGCCTATTCCCTCGTATGAACAGTCAACAGCCGTCTCTTGATAGACATCTCCCACCTCAATACAACGCGATCTGGATCGTACAATCTCCACAAACGGTGGTTGATTGGAAAGCGGGTGCAACGGAGCAGTATTTGCGCCACGTGGCTAGCTGGGCCGAATAAGCGGGCCCCAAACTTTTCAGCCAATTGTGGGCCTGGCCGGCCGGTGAATCGGACACAAGGATGGACGCATCCACGTCGTCAGATCTGTTGCCTTCTAAGCGGGCCAATGGCCAACCGGCGGCCGTCGCCGCAGAAACGTTCGCGAACAACGAGCCGTTTTGACAGCCCTAATGGCCAACCGGAGGCCGTCGCCGCAGAAACGGTCGATTGCAATTTCAGGAAAGTAAATGCAAAAAGCAAGGTAAACGACAGTTAAATTATAGCGATAAGGTGTTATAATAATTTACATACATGGCGTGATACCAACCAATGCTTATGCATGTACTTATCGCACACCTAAATTTTAATGTAAATAGTATAATTTACTTTTCATACTTCTTTTTATATATAGAATAGTATAGATGTGAGATAAGTAAATGAATAAGAATTGAGTATTATGCATGCAAATTTCTGTATTATAAGTACGTTCATAATAGCACTATAATATCATCAAATTCACACTTATTTCGTCCACACGTATTATTTTTTTTTCAAAAAAAATCTACTTGGTATAAGAAGAACTATATATATATATATATATATATATA